AGAAACCCAGCCCTGAAAACCCACACGGACGGGATGGAAGCGAGGGGAAGCCGCTCGTTCAACTGCCTCTGGAAGTCACCACGCATCGCGAGGAGTGAAGAAACCCAGGGTACCCTGACGAAAAACCATCGGTTTCTTGATGCGCGTCCCCACTGTGGGTGGCTACCCCTCTGGAATCGATCTCACAGAAGGTCGCCGCGGCGCCACGGAAGGCACTGCCTTCCTACCGCTGCCGCTCCGGAGCCGACGAGGCCCCGCGGCCCTGTGGCTGTGATCATTGAACGCCCTCCTGCCTTCCACGTCCTCCTCCCTCCTCCCCTCTCCTCCCTCCTCCTCCTCCTCCTCCTTCCTCAATCCTCCTCCTCGTCATCTTCCTCCTCCTCCTCCGTCTCCTCCTCCTCCTCCTCCTCCTCCTCTTCCTCCTCCTCCTCCTCCTCCTCCTCCCCCCGTTCCTCTTCGTCCGCATCCCTCTCCTCCTCTCAGCTCAAGAACCGAAAGGTTCCCACGATATAACTTTCCTGGCTGCGCCTGACACAAACGTCAACGATGCTCAGCCCGATGACGCCAGTCGCAGTGTCCAAGCATGTGAGTTCCCTCGTGCCCCTGCTTCCACACCGCGCACGCGCCCCGTCCAGTCCATATTGCAAATTTTTGTGCTCACTGCATCCACAACTGACTCGCGAGATACTACTTCAAGTGGAATGAAACTACGCTGCTACATGCTTCAGTCCCTTGACCAAGTACGAAAAGGGCGCCCTGCCACTTCACATGCTCATCCCAGAAATATGCTGATGCACTTCTCTCATGAGCTGGACGTCCCAGGCGGACCCATGCCAGGGCAGCCAAGCGCATGCGAAGCTTCGCGCGAATGCGGCTGCAGAGCTGTCAGCATCGGAGCACGACGAATCGCCCAACGGGGAGGAGGCCTGAAGAGCTGATGCGACAGCGAAACGCTGACGAGATGCGGGCAGCGGACGGGCAGAAGCACGACGGGCACGGGCAACGAGGAAAGCATCCTCGCTGTACCGGGACGGAACCGCTTCGGTGAGGTGGGGCGCGTCGGGGCGGGGGTGCGCTGCAGTCGCCATAGGAGGGGTGCGCTGCAGTCCCCGGGTGCGTGGCCGAAGTGACGTTTCGCTGTGCGGGCCGCTGCCGTGGTTGACGTGATGCTGCCGTCGCCCCGCCCGCGGCCCGCCCCGCGACCCCACCCGCGACCCACCCCCCGAACGCCACCATCATTTTTAGGGGCATCTCGAAAACGAGGGCACGCGTCTCGAAAAGAGCCAGCGTCTCGAAAACCACGCTGAAGCAGATCCCCGAGGGGAAAATGCCATCCGACAAAATTGACATTTTGTCAAATGATATTTGTTGGTCGGAAACCTGGTCATTCCGAAAAGACCTCAGATTTCGAGACGTCTGATTTCGAGACGTCTGATTTCGAAAAGTCAGGTTTGAAAACATGGATGCAATGTACTCAGTAGTATGTTCCTTAACTGCTGAGGCCTATATCGTAATGACGTTTCTGACAGAGCTGTCCTTGTCAGTGACCGTTCTGGCACAAGATGCCCATGCGCGGAGGCGCAAGGCAGAAACTGGGCATTGAAAAACGATCCAAGCCAGAATCAGAGGGGGACAATGATTCCAAGCCAGTGCGAACAGTTTGCGATGGAGGGCGAACAAGACGCCGCACCTTTGGGGGGTTCCTCAAATCTTGGAATTGAACTGGTCGCCTCTCCGCTCCAGGTTTCCTAGAAAGGTCCACAGCAGCTTCGTTCTCGGATGAACGAGACAGCTTGCGCAGCGAAATAGCCAAAGCAGGTAATGGTGGAACCATCAGGCGCAATTGTCACAGAGATGTCATGGAGAGGTTTCAAAAGGAGGGCCGCTGACAAACCGAGCGCTCACTATACAAAAATCAAGTCCTGGGACGGACAGGGGAACAAACCCACCTAGGATAAATGCGCTCTCATCCTGCCACATGAAACCGCATGTTACAATTACTGCAAGAAAGAATCAGACCCGTGTGTCTCGGTTGGCTCTGGAAACAAACCTGAAGCAACACGAAACTCGCAAGGTGGTGTGCGAAGAACAGACTGGATCCCAGTTAATATCTTGCTGTAGCTCCTTGGGGGAATGCTGCTGCCTACCTCGCGCGGGACAGCTTGTACGTCGTCTTGATGAAGGTATTGTCAGGGACTTCGCACCGACGATATTGGTTGGCAAACTACTCCGAGAAGCCCTTCTGCGCATGCAGGTGCCAGGGCAGGTACACGTTCGACTCTGTGCTGGACGTGCTCGCCTGGTCATTCGGCCGCTTGGCAACTGGGCGCTGGCCTGATGAAAGAGACGATGGGCTGCCACTCAGCGAGTCGGCTCTCCCGGCGACAAGGCGAGACCAGCGGCAGCCCGCGGCGACAGGCGAATGTCGGTGCGCGGCGGGGTGGTGCAGAAGAGGGGCGACTGGTCGTGGATGGAGGTTGCGCTTGGCATGACTGGCTGGAACGACGGAGACAACCATGGTTGCAAGTGCATGGCAAACATTACAAATATACCGTTCACAGCTTTTCGCAAAACAGCTTTATGGAGCCACCTTTGCATCAGCCTCCAGCTCTACATACAAAGTGCATTCGAAAAAGGACCGTTTGTATCGAGCCTGTTGTGGTTCCCATCATCTGACTTCTCTTTCATATCTGTTGCCCTCATGCACACCTTAGACTTAGGAGTGCTCTGGTACCTCATGGGGCGCGTCCTTTACGAGATTCCAATATATTCAAGAGATGAGCGGCATCGTCACCAGACCGCAGGAGACATCGGTCGCTATACTGATCCTAACAAAGCCGGCGTCGAAAAAGATCGGCCAGGACGCGCCACAAATCAATGCGCTCACTTGGACAATGATCAAGGGAGAAGGGGCTCCAAAGCTGAGGACCTAAGCGGCGAATGGCCAGAAGCCCGTTACATGCTTAAAATCTGTATTGCAGAATTTATGGAGTAGCATGGGCATTTGCAGAGATGTGCGAAATCTTGAAGGTTGCGGAGTTTCGAGCCCAATTCGCCTTTCCAGAGTCAGTAAGGAAGCATTGATTGCAGACGGTGGATTCCAGCAGGACGAACAGCCTCGAATGGCAGCACCGAGGTTCTTTTTTGTACGAACCTTACCCGAAACACCACCTTCTGCAGCATTATTTAGAGTGCCAAGTACACGAGGGGGTGACCCCCGAAACTCGCGGTGTTACGCAGACGGATCAGACATGCAGCTATTTGGATCGCCGAATCGATGCACGCCAAGTTTTTGCACAGAGGCGCAATTGAGAGGCACAGGGTCATGTGCCATGTGCTGGCGAACGCGAAGATCCACGGCGAAGGAAAGATGCGTTTGAGGGGGGGAGATGGGCGGGGGGGAGGGTGAGATAAGGAGAGGGTAGTCCAGGCTGGTTCGAACTGCAACTCGTCACAACGTGTTGTCGTTTGGCAGCGCTTGCCCACAAAAAGTTCTGGGAACACCATAATGCAGGGAGAGCGGATAGGATGACGATGATGATGATGATGATGATGTTGATGATGATGATGCTGCTAATGCTGATGATGATGATAAAAAATGAGGACACGGGGAGAGGACGACGACTGGATATTCGAATTAGGTCTGCAGTGCTGTCTTGCGCGAAGGGTCCAAACCACATCGGACTGTCGCTATTGCGTGCCATGAGCGGGGCCGTGGATTTCAAAATGAATGGCATTATCACGGCCGTCATCGTTCGAAGTAGAAAGGCCTATTTCGGCGATCATGTCGGGGCTATTGTTCGCTCCAACGGTTCATGGGGCGCCCAATACCAAAAAACACCCATGAGGGTCCTTTCCTACCGGCACCCCCCAAACAATCAAACGCCGCCGTATTGAATGCTGGTTTAAGCCGTCTTGGAGGAGGCTTCAAATCTTTAGCCGTTCTCGCCAAACGGATGTGAAACAAGCAAACCGATGAAGAACACGAGGGAAAAGGTGAAAAACGGGTAGGGGGAGGGCGACATGTGGCGAGCCCGAAACGAGCCCCGTGAAAGCCCCGCAAGAGCCCCGCGAGGGCCCCACACGAGCCCCACACGAGCCCCACGCCAGCCCCACGAGAGCCCCACGCGAACCCCACCCCACGCGAGCCCGACGTGAGCCCCACGCGAGCCCCACGCGAGCCCCACGCACGCGAGCCCCATGCGAGCCCTACGCGACCCCCACGCGAGCCCCACGAGAGCCCCACGA